TCCGTAACCCGGCAAGCAACCAATCCAACGAGGGCTTCCCCAAAAGGACGTCATCCAAACGTCATTCCGGCGCTAGATCAACAGCCAATCAGCAACGGAATCCCCTCCAGTAGCCACGAGGAACAACTCAGCTTTTCAGATTTCAGCAAAACGCAAGTAACGAACAAAATCTCCTATCTGCTGAACTGACGCTGATGATTGACTTAAGCAGTAAACGTAAGACAAATCTCTTCTTTGTGAATTCTCTCAGGCTGAATTTAAAACCACTCGTGAAAACGAGTTAGAACTTTGGGAACTTCTCAGAACTCCGTTAACAGCATTTTCATTCTTCAGAGACTGTATGTATGTGTGTGTGTGTGTGTGTATGTGTATGTCTTAGCTTAGGTCAATGTAATTTAGAATAGCCAATAAATTCATGTTTCATTTATAAAGAATCATTGTCTGGTGTCATATAATTTTAAAGTCAAACCATGCCAAGATCACGTTACCTCGCTAGGAGCTTACAAATTATCATAATTGTATTGACCTGTGGCCAAGGAATATACACACAGTCAGATCAAGATACACGGACATTAACGTCTCGCTGGATGACCGTTGATAAGGTGTAAACTATTGAAATTTGAAATCAGTTCTAATCAGGTGGACTTCAAATTTTCAGATTCGAGTCCTTTGAAAACCTGAATGAATTAATAATAATTAATTCCCTAAGAAATGTAATCAGACATTACATTGTTTTAGGTAATATCAACACCAGGCTAATAGCAAAAATACCAACTCAGCCCTCTCCACCGAGAACAATGGAACCAAGAAGGAACTCATCTGAAAGTACAAGAAAATTTTATTTTTTAATTTGTAAACCATTGGGCCACACCAAAATACTTTTTTTTTTTTTTTATACAGTAAACAATTAATATTGTTGTAATTGGTTTATAACAACGGTATTATTACAATGATATGAATCTTTCTTTTCTTTTTTTTAGCACCTGAGCCATCACAGACATGTGGGGGTCTTGACAGCTTGCCAAGAGCTGGATTTTGTGGTAAGTATAAATAATAATTAAGATAAGCAGTTTTACACAATACACCATATATCAAAAATGATTGCAGCCCTGTAATTTATTAATATCTCAATGATCCAAACATGCCAGGGGGCTACAGAGCAGCTATCCATACCGATAGCACCCATTCAATAAGGCCACAACATTTAGGTATTGTTTGTTTGTTTGTTTATTAGTTTGAATGGCATACAATTTCCACTGCAAAGGCATAATCTGAATGCCATCTACTAGCCATGTAAAAGCTGTATCTGATAGCCAGTACAGAATATTCATTAAACATGTAATTGTACTAACACAAATGAAATATTCCTTTTTTTTTTTAGCACCTGAGCCATCACAGACATGTGGGGGTCTTGACAGCTTGCCAAGAGCTGGATTTTGTGGTACGTATAAATAATAATTAAGATAAGCAGTTTTACACAATACACCATATATCAAAAATGATTGCAGCCCTGTAATTTATTAATATCTCAATGATCCAAACATGCCAGGGGGCTACAGAGCAGCTATCCATACCAACAGCACCCATTCAATGAGGCCACAACATTTAGGTATTGTTTGTTTGTTTGTTTGTTTATTAGTTTGAATGGCATACAATTTCCACTACAAAGGCATAATCTGAATGCCATCTACTAGCCATGTAAAAGTTTTATCTGATAGCCAGTACAGAATATTCATTAAACATGTAATTGTACTAACATAAATTAAATATAAATATATTTTTAGATTTCTGCAATACACCAAACTGGGATGTCCAGAGTGAAGGACATAGGGTTATGGAACATCAATTCGAAGGCAAGATACATACAACTTTTTCTGGAAAATGTTGAGCGTTTTACCATTTTGACATGTGTAGAGGATCTTTTTGAAAAAATATCAGTATATCAATTTCTGACAATTGTCCAGAATAAAAAGTTATTATTTGTTAAAGGGGTCATATGACGTTGCTAAAAATAACATTATGTTGTGACGGAAATGTTACGCTCCTTAACACACTGTGTGATGCCGTCTCCCGGCACGGTGAGACAAAACCAATAAAACCCATTACAAACGAGGCATTTGTTGCATCCAGTGGGGACATAATTACTGATTATAATGACTTATACTGTGCTTTTACGCGTTGTGTTGTGTATCGCGCCACATAAACATAAAACCATGTCTGCATTTGTGATCGGAGAAACAACAAACAACAAGTGCTACTCGGGTTTGAATCATCAGTGGCAAATTCTTTAAATATAAAAAATTTACTTACAGGCTGTGAGTCAGAAGCCCAGACTGTCCTTGCAAAGTTGGAACTGCCCCACTTTATAGAACAGCTTTTGAGCACAGACCCATTGTATGCTACTCTGCAGGTTCAGGAAACAGTCTTCCATAAAATGCGTCACAGTGTCACACACGGCGTCCGGAGGGCTTGCGGCAACCACATGTGACGACCCGGGCTCGCTTTCACAACGAAACACACAGCATCTTCACGACATGGCGGCGCCGCCAACAAGCTTGCCAACTTAAAAGCATTTAACGTTTGAAACAGTTCACAGGCAGCTCAAATTGTTGAAAAAGTTGTTTCAGTAATACAGTTGCCTTATTACAAAATATTTGACATAACTTGCAAAATCAAAAAAAATCCATGATTTTTGTAATAATATAGTGACTAAGTTAGGTAATATAAGTGCATTTTCTAATGTGGCAACTGTATTACTGAAACAATTTAAAAACGTAAACCAGTGAGATTTATGTAGCAAATATGCATACGTCTAGGTCTATACGTCTTACCTGGTCAAAATTTTTTTTCCCCATGCATCAGGAATTACAGCTACACTGTGATCTGAGGTGAATTCCACAACTGAAAACATTCTGAAAGACAAGGTATATGACTATTAAAAAAAAATAAAAAATCAGTTGTACATTAATAGAGTTTTTTTTTTATAACTTAATCATTCAGTCAGTGTTCAAATGTAGGCAAGTGAAAATGTATCTGTGCTGAAATTTCTTTTACACATTTAACAAAAAACACTGGCGAGTTAAATTTAACAATTTATTGGCCAGTGGCTATGTCAGACTTTGTTCCGTGTTTTGTGTGTGTCTTGCTCTCCATGTGCCTTCCTATGCCCATATTTGGTTAGTTTCCTGTTCCTGTCCTGATTATGTTGATTTGATTCCAGGTGTTCCCCGTTTTATTTCCATTGATCCCAGGTGTGTCTCGTCCTCTCCTCATCCAGTCATGTGTTTAAATAGTGTTCCCTGTGTGTTAGTTCAGGGTCCGGTATTGTTCATGTCTTCATGTCTAACAGCGTGAGTGTTCGGTATTCCTTTGTGTTAATTAAACCCATTTGGATTGATGTACTCCTCGTCTCTCTCCGTTCCTTGCTCCTCAGTCCGCTCAGCAGTGAACCCGTGACAGAATACTGGACCGATACAGAACGTGAGCGGCGCCTTTCTCCCCCCGTTTGTTTTTTGGTTTTCTGAAAAGCCTCCACGTCCCCAAATGGAGGAACGATAAATGTTTATCGCGTTGGCTCAGGCGAGCCCAGACCCCATCATCTTTGCAAGGGCGTTCGTGCCGCTTGCCCTCACCAGCTCCCTCAAGGGGGAAACCCTTGCAACGCTGTTCCGGATCGGAATTACATTCCATCATCCCACGGAGCTCCCAGACACGACCGACCTCGACTGGAAGGAGACAGTCATCTGGTGTCTAGAGAGTCTCCGATCCCGATCCGGAACCCCTCTGCCGGCAGTTCCGGAGTCAATTCAGCCGGCTGTTAATATGGCAAGCCCAC